CTTCCTAGGAACACACCCGGGGAACTTTGTGTGAGAAGCCAATGTGTAATGCAAGGTAAGAATGCAGAAATAATCTACCCAAAAAGAAACCAGTTATAAGGTTACGATAGACTACACTCGGAATGAACATAAATTATGTGTCTTTTTCATTAGGTTACTATAAACAGGTGGATGAGACTGCACATACCATTGACAAGAATGGATGGCTTCACACAGGTGACGTAGGATTCATAGATGATGAAGAAAATGTCTTCATCATTGATCGTATCAAAGAGTTGATCAAATACAAAGGTTTCCAAGTAAGTTCTTGATACTTCAGAGGCTTACAACAATACAAGGGATTGTCACCTTTTTCAATAAAAAAAATAGAAAAAAACTATTGTTTTTATTACACCTAATAGTCTCGTATCACTATAAAATTAAGGTGTAAGAGAGTTTAAATACTTTTTCCTCTTTCCATCTGGAAAGACAAAACCATAACAGAATTACATCTTCCAAAGCGAACAATACTGGAATGTATGGTAAGCGAACAATACCTCAAATATACTATGATTGATCATGACCATACAACTTGACAGACTTGAGATTGAAACTTCTATGTTCAACTTTCTCATTTTTACATAATTATTTTGTCATGAAAGTATGTTTATTAGTAAACACAAATTGGTTAAGAATAAGGGGAATGATGTCATTTTGAACATATACAGGTTGCTCCTGCTGAGTTAGAGGCCATTTTGCTGAGTCATTCATCAGTTGAAGATGCAGCTGTAGTGCCGTAAGTAACCAAAATCGTGCTCTTTTGTTAATATAGTTAACATTGTTAATCTGACACTTGTGTTGGAATTTTAGTTTTGAAGAAAGTCATTACAAAGTAATGCTTTTATTTTTCTGTAATGGTTGTTTAGAATACCAGATGAAGATGCAGGGGAAATCCCAGGTGCAAGTGTGGTTTTGATCCCTGGTGCAAAGGAAAGTGAGGAGGACATAATGAACTATGTTGCCAACAATGCTGCAAATTACAAGAAAGTGAGAGTGGTGCACTTTGTGGAAAGCATACCAAAGTCACCCTCTGGAAAAATAATGAGGAGGCTCATCAAAGACAAGATGATTCAAAAGATAAAGACAACTTCCTCAACAAAATCTCAGAATGTCTAAAATCAATGGCTTTGATTTTCATGTCTCCATTCTCAGGGTTGCAAACTTGTTAGGTGATCACTGATTTGATGTTCTCAGAAATATTTGAAAATAAAATTTGAGACTCTAGTTGATGTTGAATTCCCATTTACTTCTGTCGTCTGATTTTACTTAAAAAGATTGTTTGTGCTTCAAAAAATAGATTATTTGTTAACTATAATAATTTATTACAATAAAAATCTGTTTGAGAGGGTAAATTGAAAATTGGTTCTACGATAAATTAAATCATTTTTATTTTAAAATTCTGATATATTATATGAATATTTATTTAACTAATATAAAAAATTAAACGAGAAATAAAAAATAATAATCCTACAAACTTATCTTTTCTTCTGAAACCAGAGATAAGGAAGAGATAAATCTCTTCATTCAATCATCATGACACAGTTACAAAAAACAAAAGTGAAGAATTTTCATCAACCTACAAATACATTTAAATAGATAATACCAAGGAAAAAATCACACTCAAAAACAAGATCAAAAATAGAAAGAGATGGATTAGGAGAACAAGAAGAAAAAACAAATTTACTAATATTAATGCCACAGATCTAATGCAATTAATAAATTAATAAGGTAGGTAAAAAGAAAAAGAATCTATATATTTATTTTTTAATTGTCTTTAATCAATGAAATATAAAAATTTATTTTATTTATTTATTTAATAATTATAATTTATTTGATCCGATATTTTATTAATTATTTCATATATTATAAAAAAAGTTTTACAAAATCAATCACCTAATTTAATGAAAAAAACATTGATTTAGATTGAATCTAACTTAATCCACCTTAATCATTTGAATGGAATTGGGTTATTCGTACAGTAAATTTTGGAATTTTTTTAAATGAAAATTTCAGTATTCAAAATTTTGAATCAAAACAGCAAACCATGACAACTGAATACAAAATAAATAAATAAATGAAAAGCCTTATTCCCTTCAGCTGAAGCTTTAAAGCACCACAGCACATGTGGTGCTGATATTCCACCAGATTAGAATATGATTTTGCTGAAGTAACATCTTCATGAAGCCATTCAGGAAACGTAGAACACAATCTTTTGTGACATTGTGAAGGAAGCATATGTGAAACATTTTCTATGCAAGATCTGTGTTCCTTGAATGGATTACAGCACCTAAATCAATGTTCATTTTCAATGTTTTCGGTGAAACCAGTTCATTAAAAACTCCGAAATCGCGTTTGTATTGTGTCCCTACCACATGCAGAGGAAGAGAAAGTCACACATGAGACATGTTTTAAATACTCAATCTTCTACTTTTGCCCAAATCTGCATGTCAACATCACATACAATAGACTAATAACTAGTAATAATTTTATAATATTATATTGCATTTGCCAAACATACATTATGTTTGCAAAAGAAAAAAAAAACTTTATTCGGAAAATAGCGATATGCAATATTAATAAAATGCGTAAAGAAGGAATAAAGTTTAATATGTTTTTAATGGATATAAATTTGAAATATATTTTTATTTTAAACATTAATATATTTTGATTCTAACATTTAAAGATAAATATATATAATTTTTTTAATCTGACAATTATAAGAACTAAAAAATAAAATATTATGATTTATAAGTGTTTTAAATTAACAACATTATATTATTTAATGTTAAAATAATTTGATTATATAAATGGAATTTTATAAGCGTGTCTTATTATATAAAACACTTACTATCATTCAAGAATATTTTCTCTAGACTTTCTCTTTCTTTTCTTTAAGTTTTCTAGCTCTTGATTTATCTCTTTGATGATCAAAATATATCTAGACGATCACCACAGTGAGGTCTACAACTTCATTCGATCAGTTTTCCTAAAATAGTAAGTTAGTTTCTACTATTTTCTTTGATCGGCTTTATTTTCCTTGCATGCTAGCTCTCTTTCGCTCATGTGAAGTCTGAGTCTTCTATAAGACTCTTTGTTAATCAATGCTTCTAACGGTAGTGCCATCAAAATGGGTTGAGACCCGTGAGCCAACCCAGCTCATCACGGGTTTGAGCCAGGTTGGGTTGAAAAAAACTGCAAAATTTTTTATGCGAGCCAATTTTGATCTGGCTCACTAAGAATCCGACTCACACGGGTTGAACCCATGGTGGGTTGGGTTGACTCACCAATCCACCTATTTTTTTAATTAAATTAAATTAATTATTCAAATCCTATTTTTTTATTGAAATCAAATTAATTAAATTAATTATTCAAAATGCACAACCTTTACTTAGCAATAGAGCCCTTCGCGCTTCTGTCTTTCCAAAAGTTTCCCTCTGCAAATAAAACCCTAAGATTATAGATTGGATAATATTATAGATGGAGATAAAGAAGAAGATGCTTCAAGAGAGCATAATACTGTGAATTTATCTATTCATGACTCCAATTTAATAGATGGATAATATTATAGATTGGATAATTCAGGAATATATCATTTGTTTTATCTTGCTTTTAGACTTATCTACAAGCAAGCATGACAATTTTATCTTGTGCTATATATTTTTGTTAACAACTATATGTAGTTTCTTGGTCAAACGGTTGTGTATATCTCATTAAACTAAATTGGCAAAATTTTATACTTGATAACTTATAATATATATAACAGTATATTTCTTTTGTTTCATTTTCTTTTATATCAATTGGTCCAATTATTGCGGTTTCAATTTGATCGATCAAAGTAACATGTCCAGAATCTGAGAAGAAGAGGGTGAAAAAAAAGTTAATTGAGTCAATGAGCCAATCCGTTGAACCCACCAACCTGTAGTGGGTCGGGTTCAAATTTTTTCGGCTTGCTAATAAATGAGTCGGATTGGATTGACTCACTAAGTCACCAACCCGTGGTGGGTCGGGTCGGATTGGACCAGGTTACCCGTTTTGACAGCTCTACAAACTACAATGTTCTTAGTTGTTTTATTGAATGTGTATATGCAGTAGTGTTACTTACTGGTTATATTTAAGCAGAAAAAAGAAAGATCTAATCAAGATGGTGTTTTTTTAGTCAAGGATCATTTATGGTTATTCATATAAGCCTAATTATAGTTTCAGTGATTTATCTTTTCACTTATGTTTATCGGTTAATAATTCAAACATAATTACTGTTTGAATTAGTTACAAAATAAAGTTTTTTTATAAAATATTTTCATTATATATAGTGATGGCTTTTTAAATGGATCTCAACTAAATTACTTTGATATATAGGTTAAAGTTCCTTACCAATGTGCTGATGTTAGTATTGTTTTGTTTACCTTTTATGGCTAACTTAAACTAGAGTCATGTTAAATTTAGTTTCATTATGTACCTTATATGATATCAAGAATTTTAAGTGATATAACGTATAAACTTAAATATTGTAAGATTCAATCAATGACTTATATATAGAATTCACCATCATATACGTGATGGACAAAATCAGTCACCAGTGTACTCTTATATGCTTTTGCATAAAGATCTCATTTAGCTCTTAATACGTCTTCTGTTTATTTTTCATTCTTTTTGAACAGTGCTCTTCAAGCTTTTGTTTTATGAATAAAAATAAATTGGAGGAGGAAAAAGGGGTTGGGGAATTTCAAAACCAAGGAATCTGAATCCTGAACATGAATGATATGTTCTCTAAGTTCTCACGACTGAACTATACAAATAAACCTTATATTTGATTGAGCATTTTCGTTATCATTGTCATGTAGCATCCATCTTGTGTGAGAGTTTGACTGCTTACTTACGGAAAAACTTAGCATGAACACAGAAAGATACTTCTCATTCCTTTGGCATTGCAAATTGAAAAATCATACAAAGACATCATACAGTTATCTAATGATACTTTTTATAACATTCAACGGTAAAAAAAGAACTACATGGTTGCCCCTTGAGCCAAATAATAGGCAGAACATACAAGAGTTCTCCCTCCCTGTTGTGATATCCGTTGTATACTACCCTTAATGATTCTTTACAGCTTGTCAGCCTCCAAACGCCTGAATGGAACAGTTGCTGCTGTAACCATGTTCCCCCCTCTTCTTTAATTTACAGATACAAAAACTGCTTGGTCAGTAAGAATGAGTAAATAAACATTTTCCTTGAACTGGATGGCAGACGCAGACATTCTAACGGCAGCAAAAACAATTCTCCAGCACTCCATTTACACCTTAAGAAAATGTGAATCTTGAGAAAAGTGATAGGCCAGATCCTGAAGTATCACTTGCAGGAGTAGGTGGAACTTCCGTTGAGGTGTGATATGCCTGTTGACACTTCTGCATCTGCACTCAGGATGCAGAAAATTGTTTCATTTTCAGCCACCAAAAAGACAGAACTTTTGATTTTAAAAAAAAAAAGTTACTTATATTCTGTTGGCCATTAAAAGAAATTGCTGTAACATAAAAAAATTAATAAAAATAACTTTTGACTTCTCTAAGAGAGTTATATCAGAAAATTTATAAGGTTAATTTATGGATCAGCCTTTGTTTCAGTGGAACATATTCAGTCTTGTCGTAAAAGAACTTGGAAGTTATTTCAGAGCGATTTCCAATGAAAAAACCCTTAATTTTAATTTTTTATATGTGATAACATTGTACAGAGTGCACCCATTTACTTGGCGCAAGTTCATTCCTAGTAACCATGAAGTCTTATCCTAAGATGCAAAGTAGAAGATGACAAAATTACCTCTTCTGGACTAAACTGAAGCAGCATTCCAATAACCGGAAGCAATACCTCAACTTCACCTGGTAAAATAGAATAGTCACGTTAATAGCTTCTCAATCTAGTTAATGAGTATAAAGGAGATAAAAGAAGGATTACTTTATTTTTTTTTTTTAAAATAATACCAGTCTCAAGCAGCTTTAATATAACATTCTTCAAATATGTCATATCTACACCTTCCCTTTTCTTAGATCTTTCCATGTTGCGAAGCTCAGTCTTTAACATTGCCTCCTACAGTTAGAATATTTGGAAATTCATAAGCCTAGATTCTCATAAACAAAAACAACAAAAGTGTTATCCTACTTGGGGGGTCGATTGCATGGATCATTCAACACCATTCGACTAGGTTTCTATAAAGGTGTAATTAAAATAAAATAGTTCTAACGAATGCTCCTTTATCTGTTTATTTTTCAAGTCACAAATTTAAAAAATGTAGCAACAGAAAATTGCCCTACCAAAAAATTGCAAGCAATACATACAAGTACTATCTGGGAGACTTTTCCCTCAAAAAAGAAGCTACTAAAATTATGGGATATCAGAGACAGAGTGAGGAAAAGAAAAACAGAGACTAAATGCTCTGAATTTGATATTAACTTGATATATTACAATGCATATAATGTGATACCAAAATAAAAGTAATAATTTTTGTTTATTCTAATATTAGAACATAATCCTTAAGAAATCTGAAAACTAATCCTATGAGTTGGTCTAAGATACTCTAAATTATTCTTATGACATAAGCAAGATACTAAATTATATTTTTTTTCATATATCTTAACACTCCCCCCACCAAGCTATAGCCTACTAAGACTTAAGGTTGCTACAAATAAGGCCTTTAAACACAACCTCAGCTCCGCCAAACATGCTGTTGGTTTAGACCAAGACTATCTGATGACAATCATTCCAGTGACTTCTTTTCACCAGTGATTCATACAACGATGAATTTGTTGTGCTGCATATTGGACTCGATAGGAATGGTACTAATGATGAATGCTCCTATCACATTGATATAGTAACGATTCATGAGGTGATGAATTTCTGCCTTTGTCATGTAACATTCCAACCAGCTCTCTAGGATGATATCAGATCCACCAAAACAATGAGAATAGGTGGGTTTTTGGGACTGAAGACTGGATGGGCAATAGTGTCTAGGACCAGAGAACACGGCTGAAGCCATGTCTACGGCAAACACTGGTCAGGTTGCATTTAGGACAAGAATCAATGAGATTAGATTGTGTTAGAGATTAGTTATCAAAAAAATTGGTAAATATCTAGTTCCAATAACATGGTTATCAAAAAACAATATTGTACGTGAGATCAAGACCAAGGACAATAAAGATAAGGCCAGAATGCAACTGGATATGACAACAGAGAGAAGATGACACCAAACAGCACTGAAAATGTAAAGAGGATATATTGGGGACAACAATGGCACTATTGCAGGTTGACTCAATTATCCCATGACAGAGATCAAGTGGACTAAGTTACCCTCTTTTGTAGAAAGACATACCTTCTTACTTTAACTACAGTTTTTTGCTTAGTGATAAGCATTTGATCCAACAATTAGTATAAAAGCTAAGGTCACGAATTAAATTTCAAGTGGGGAAATTATTAAGGGGGAGATTATTATAGGTTGCATCAATTGTCCTGGGATGAAGACAAAGTGGACCAAGCCACAATTAAACAGTTAGCTTCCTAACAAAACAATTGTTGAGGGAAAGATTTTTTACAGGGTACATCAATTGTCCTGCAACAGAGACTAAGTAAGCTAGGTCACAATTGAATCGTAGTATTTGGATTGTTACACTCTTCAATATAAAAGTTGCACCTTGACTATTAGATATNAAGGTTGCCTTTGCTTTGGATTCCTTATTTGGTGAGTTAATTTATAAATTTGATATACTTAATTTATTTGAATAGATAAATATTTAAGGTTTGTGAACATGTTTATGTGTATGCTTATGGTTGATAGATATGATGTATGATATATGATGATGATGATGATGAGTATGTCTTGACCATGTGCATGGTAGATGGACGTAATTCATGACTCTCGTGGAAAGATTCAATGATGGAGCTCTGTAGTGTATGTATTATTGTAGGAGCTCAATTTTGATTGTTATCATAACACTCTAATGGTCATCCATTCTCAAGTAGAGCGGGGGTCATGTGGTGAGAGTATCAGGAGGTCCTAATATGGGGTCTTACCTAAGCAAAGAGTTTTTTAACAGACTAATCTTGTGTGGTAGCTTGGGATGAGCCAGCTATTCCACCATTACATGTGTACAAGTGTCATAGCTCGACAATAACACATGTATTCAATTTTTGAGTCTAGATGTCTTACCTGTTTAGGTGTTATGTTACTTTGTGAATGTTAAGTATTCGTCTTTTGATATTAACTTACCCTTTCATTTTTGTTTGTTTGTGTATATTTGTTTTCTCTTTTGTAATAATCACCTTAAATAGTGTGAGCTTAGGAGGACTTCTTCTAGTTGTTCCAAAGCAGAGAGCAAGCAAAACATCATTCTTAGGTTTTAATTCTCCATGTGTAAGTTTTTAACTTTAAAAATCTCAAATTTCTTGTACATTATCATATTTGTAACACTTATTTTAATAGTTTTATATCAGTAAAATAAGATGTTACAATAATTTTAATGTTTTTTTATATATTGAACAACCATTCTAATTTAACATTTAAACTTAATCATGTATGATGAATAACGGTTTTAAATGTTATTTGACATGTTAATATAATTTAATGTAATAGAATTAAAAAATTATATTTATTTAATTGTTAAGTTTGAGAAACAAACTATATCTTAAAAAATTAAGAAAGTTTAATTTTGTATAAAAGTTTAAGATTAAAATCATATTTAATATTTTATAACAAATATGATTTTTGTAAAAAAAAATATATAAATAATATGTATTAAATAAAATTTGAGTAAAATAATAAAACAATTATATGAAACAAAATATATATTCCAAATACATCCTAATAGTAATAATATTAGTTTAGGTGAATGAAAAGAGATTCTTTTATGTGATGAAAAGAGAAAAGGACTAATTACCAACTAGATCTGAAATGCAATACGCAATGACTCCACAGCATGCAATATTTTAGTTACATTTGTGTAGCATCCACACACAATTGGATCGTATTATTTTTTTTATTAATAATAAAAAAAATATTTAAAATTAAAAAGTATTTGAAATATTCCGATCCTTTACACAGTTAAAAAAACAAGACAAAAACATAGCAGCAAATTTCTGCCTCAAAAGTTATTGCAGGACACAAGAGTCTAAAACATTCCAAATGTATTGAGTAACCAAAATTATCATGCTTAAGTACAACAATAAATATTATATATATATATTTTATCTAGTTTTCTTAATACTTAGCCTCCTAAATTTAAGGTAAACATAGAAAGAAAACTTTATAGAAAAAAGATTAGGGTAATAATATTATAATCAAAATTGTATTAATAAAAGAAACTTTTTTATTTCTGACTTTACTTAATAAGCTCAAAAGTAAAAGCTCTACCTAATACTAGTAATATATAAAGTGTTGAATTTATTTTACATTTACTATAAACGAAGTTGAAATAGTACATATAAGTAAAACCTTTTTTTTTTTAATTTTCAGATTTTGGAATTGAGTATGACTTAAAATATGTATATTGTATTATACAAGTTGTTGGATTTATGGAATAATTATGAGATAATTTAAAGACTTGAAAGTATATAAATTTGTTTCAAACTTGTAATCTTTAAAGTGGATATTTGTGAACTAAATGTAATTTTAGTGAATATCTAAATGAGAAATTATTCTTACTTTTATGGTTTTTTATTTTGTGTATCATTAGTATATAAAATAGGGTTTTACTTACATCAATGACTAAATTACGTCATACATGAACTAACATAAATATAACTCACATAAAATAAAACACCTTCTATGTGAATTTTTTACATGATTTAATTAATATAAAAGTTTTTGTGTTTTTTAAGTTTGGTTTTTTTAGCAATAAATTAAAAAATATACCCAAACAAAATTTCAATAAAATATTTATACAGTGTAAAATAAAATATTTATAACTAAAATTTCAATAAACTATATAATGTAACTTAAACTACTTAATATTACGAATAAGAACAAAATATTAAGTATTTAAATAATATTTAATAAAACTTAACTCTTATTTATATTGGAGAAGATAAATTATTTATTTTTTTTATCGAGATGATATTCACTTGACATAATAAAGTCTTGTTTTTGAAAAACTGAAACATTTGACTAGTCTTCACATTTTATTTTATAAATCTTAAATCTTAAATCCTAGCCTTAAATGCAAAATCGGGAATATACACTTAAATTATGACCTTTATATGCTGCATTCAGTGACCATATTAAAATGAATCCTATTGTCTATTACACAATCTAACCGATGTATATAATAAAAGGTTCACTTTTTCTTCTTCTACTAAAGATATTTATACCAATCACAATTTTAATCAAATAAAATATACATATAAAGTAAAAATTATACTTTAAAATGTGTCTTGAGAAAATGTTAAACTTACTTTATAATCAACTTTACTTTTTTATTTTATTAATAAGTTTGTTGTACAATGAAGGGAATCTGTTTTTATTAAAAAATAATTAATTAGCAATTTTTTTAAGTGGAATCGAGATTACGTGACTTTAACATCAAACTCTAAAAAATCTTTAAACTATTATAACAATTTAAAGTTACGAATTACTTAAAAAAAATACTCAAATATTTAAGTCAATAGAGAATTGTTTGATAATTAAAGTCAATTATTAACAGTATAACAAAAATGATTATCTACCTCTTTCTTTATGTATTTATAAGTTTCAAAAAAAATTAATTAACATCAATCAAATTACAATTATATAGTTGATAAACATACTTTATTTATAAACATGTTTAATTTATAAATAACTCAGTTACTTATATATGGTCATTACTTTTCCACTAAAAATTGTTTGATTTTCGAAAATCAATCATGAGTACGAAAAATTGACCACCCAATCAATTACTGACCATCGTACATTACAAAGTATATATATTTGAAACCATTTAAACCATTTATTCAGTCTAAATTATAATTTTAGACAATTTATAACATTTACTCCTATGAACTAAATTAATTAAAATCATATAATTTTAAAGCTTCGNTTTATAAGTTTCAAAAAAATTTAATTAACATCAATCAAATTACAATTATATAGTTGATAAACATACTTTATTTATAAACATGTTTAATTTATAAATAACTCAGTTACTTATATATGGTCATTACTTTTCCACTAAAAATTGTTTGATTTTCGAAAATCAATCATGAGTACGAAAAATTGACCACCCAATCAATTACTGACCATCGTACATTACAAAGTATATATATTTGAAACCATTTAAACCATTTATTCAGTCTAAATTATAATTTTAGACAATTTATAACATTTACTCCTATGAACTAAATTAATTAAAATCATATAATTTTAAAGCTTCGAACATAAATGAAACATTCTGCTTCAACATGAACAATGACTAAACGCCAAATCAAAAGAGACATTTATCCATTGTTATCATAAAAATCCTGAAATGAACCATGAATTTAATTTAAACAACAAATAGAGGTATGGAAACATAAGCTTGAATAACATAATTAAACCATGTATATTTTTTAATAGAGCTAATTTTATTTATGCTATCCCATCACACGTTGAATTTCTTTTTCTTGACACAGAAGCCATGGACCTTCTTTCCTCTGAACAAAAACAACACTTTGGAATTATTAAGAAGAAAGAACACATCCATGAATGAATCTACCAACACACAATAAGAAAAGGAGATTGTCGGTGTTGCATGTTTTTGCAACATCACATGCTCCACTCAATCCACCCTACACGTGGCATCTCCTGCACCGTTCGGCCAGCTATGTTTAGTACCACTTTCACCCTCACTTTGATTTTCCAATATTGCCCTCCTCATTCGCTTTATCTACAGTCTCTGCCATTCCTTTTTCAACGACTGATATTCATCTATGCATGGTCGGGTTTTTGTTGGTCAAATATCAACGTGGCCTATGGTCATGATTATGCCATAAGCTAAGTACTAGTAGCCAATCATATTCACTTTACGAAATACTCCCAAAAAAAGTAAGAACTTTCAGCTTTACAGTGAGTGATTTGTTGTCCTTTTCATTCAAATTTATATTCATTTTCACTTAATTATTTTCATTTTAAGTTTTAAATGCCAATTAAATCTATCAAATATTCTAAATATATATTTTAGTTTCTCAATTTTAATGACAATAATTGATTAAAAATATCACAAATTTATAATTTTTTATTATTCATAAGTTAAAATTTATTCACATAATATTACATTATTTATATTAGTTTCGCATAGTTTAAAAATCGAATAAGTAAATTAATTTAGATATTTTTTTTCTTCTTTCACTATTTTATATAAATTTTAAAGAAAAAAATGAGATAGAGTTTCAATATCTAAAATAAATAATATCTTAAAACTGTTCAAATCTTACAATAATTTAATATTTTTATAATAAAATACTTTATAATAAAATGTCGAGTTTATAGCTATACCTTTGTAATAAAATGTTGGAATAATGCATGTTTTACATCAAAGTATTACTACTAATGGATATTTCCATTTCCATTTAAGTTGAGTGATTATAATGTTTTAATTATGATATCAATATGATGTGTAAGTTTAGTTGTATTTTATTTGAAAGTTATATTTTTATGTGATATAATATAAGTAATTTTCTTAGCTAGTGAAT